AAGAAGCCCAAGTACCTGGTGCAAGGGACGCTCTATCCCGACGTGATCGAGTCGTGTCCTCCTCCTGGAGTCGTGGGACACTCTCACACTATCAAAAGCCACCACAACGTTGGGGGACTTCCACCATCGATGAAACTTTTGCTCTTGGAACCTTTGAAGTGGCTTTTCAAGGACGAGGTAAGTGTAGTACGTCGAATCAGATCTTTCTTCCATGCGTTGCTTCTTTTCTTCTCCAGGTAAGAAAGCTAGGAAAACTTCTTGGCATTCCCGAAGGATTTCTGAAAAGGCATCCATTTCCTGGTCCCGGTTTGGCTGTTCGTGTGATCGGTGGCGACGTTACTGAGGAAAACCTTGAAACTTTGAGATTGGTAAGCACACACCCTGTGCTTTTTGTGTTCTATCACTTCCACTGGTTCTTGTTTGTAGGTGGACGAGGTTTTCACAGCTTCGATCAAAGAGGCTGGTCTCTACGACGAGATGTGGCAAGCTTTCGCTGGCATTCTCCCCGTCAAGACTGTGGGAGTCCAAGGAGACAAAAGGACTCACTCCGGCAGCGTTGTTCTTCGTGCAGTCACCAGCGAAGATGGCATGACTGCCGAGAGGTTTTCTCTTTTAACTTTTCCTTTTTCTTTGCTTACACTGTTTGTGCTAGGTATTCATTCAAAAGGGAGTTTCTCGACCAGGTGACGAGAGAAATCTGTAATACGGTGGTGGACGTGAACAGGGTCTTTTATGACTTGACTTCAAAGCCCCCCGCAACGATAGAGTGGGAGTGAATCGCTCGAATTTGATTTGTTTTACTTTTGCTCACAACTCAAAGGCAACGCACATTATTTTCGTCGTCTAGATCAGTTCTTAGCAAAGGAGTTCAAGGACTGTATTCATGTAACCTTCCCCAAACCAAAAACCAACCGTTGAAACTTTTTCTTTAGGGTTTTGCGGAGCAAATGGTGTTCCGTACACAGTATGTATATGGATATCTCCTCAAGCCATTGAACATTCTCGGTATATTCTCGTATACTTTATTTGATCAAGCAAATCATCAAATGTCATGAAGAAACAATGTGTTGTGTGCAATCCTTGGGTTTTGGTAATAGCCTTCATGCTGCTGAGGCAAAGATCAAATGCCATGCAACTCTCCAATAGCTTGCAACAACAAGGACTGAGCAAAAATGTGTTTCATTGCAAGCCCAGATGGATGGTATGGTGGACTACCCTCACAGCTACATGTGAGTAAAACCAATTAAAAAAAGCCTGCATTTCAAAAGTATCAAACAGTCATCATGCATAGCATATATACCGTACACAATTTTAAAGTTTAGCGGCCAAAATATTGTTCACATAAATGGAGAGTGGAAAAATCAAACTTCCCCTTTTAAACAGCTTCTAATTTCTCCAGATATGTAAGGCAATACTTGTTCTTACTTTATTACCTCTCTCTGTGTAGTACATCAATCATAAAACAAATATTAAATAATGAAACGATAAAAACTCAAAAATACATCATAAATTCATATGAACAATTTAATATTTTGTATTTAATAATAATAGAGCTGTTTTCAGTTTTAATATCTTTTAGTACAAAAATCACTGAATTACTTAAATAACTTATTTAAGTATCTCTATTTTTAAAGGAAAAGAAAAATGCTTAAGTTTTAAATTTTATAAAATGCATATCTAATTATTAGAGTTGAGATGTTTAAATGTAAAGTAAAAATATTTGCTTAGTCAACTATGATTGTTAAAATGTTTATTCAATTTCCTTAAAAATATGAAACCATTAAAAATAATAAAAGGAAGTTCTAATTTAAGGAAATTAAAGATTTAATATAAACACCTCCAGTAAATTTTAATTAAATATGATTTCATTAAATTTAAAACCCAATATAAAAGCTAAAACAATAACAAATCAAACTTTTATTAGTGATTTTAATTTTTCCAATACAAATTGGGTAAATATAATAATGCTAAAAGACAGCAAATGTCTAATCCTGAATCAAAATTCATGAGTTGGCTATGCATATTGGTCAAACTCCCGAATGTGATCACAATTTAAAGTAATTAATTTAAATTTTGTGAATATAAATTTTATTTATTTATTTATTTTTGGATAATTTTAACAAGTTAACTATCTTATCAAATAATTTTTTTTAATGTAATTACAAATTTTAGTACTTAATTTTGAGACCTTTATTAAATAGTTGCTTACAAAAAATATTGAATTTTTCATACTTAATTACAACATGGAATTCTACTATCTGGTGTGAGATAATAAATTTTGCATTTAAGATGAGATTTGGTGATTAAATCATTCTCAAGCATTGCATCAAAGGCAAATCTAGATTGGGCATGCCTGACAATGATCAAATGTCACAATGCTTGGGTATTCTCCAGTGGGGGACTGTCACTGGCTGAACATAAGAAATCAACAAGTTCAACAAATACTCTGGTCGTATCCGCGCAGAAAACATGGGAGCATGTGGAAAAGCGTTTGAGCAATCAGTGGTTACTATGAAATTTTGAACCGCAGGCAATTGCTCATCAAGACTGACTCTCAACTCTCCTAGTCTGGTTGTGGTAACTTCTTGTTTTGCTTGTGTCAAATTTAGAACACAGATCGCAGTGTGAATCCTCAAACCCAACACCTCTGACTCAATAGCAATTCCAGAGTCCATTCTGGAATCTCACATGAATCCTTTGAGTCATATCTAAACCTTTGAACACAATGAACGAGCTCAGCAGTGTTGTGTACATGGTGTGAAAATGTGAACCATATGCACGTTTTCACACTACTCACATCGTGTACACAACACTAATGAGCTTGTTCAATGTGTTCAAATGTTTAGATATGAAAAGGATGCCGCAAAGGATACAGAACCATCACCATGTCGCCATGTATCCATAAAACACGAGAATGTTGCACCGCTGCCACACCTGCCGCCGGTGGTAAATACGGAAAACAATCGGCAATTAAAAACATTGACTGGAAGTGGTCACATCACATCCGATTGCTTCTTATCCGATTCTGCATGGTCGACTGGGGTAGGTAAAATTAGCCGAGGGAAGTGATGCTCGCTGGGCCTGGAAGCCCGAGCTGGAAGTGGCTGGCTCGGAACCATTAGAGATGTCGAAATCCCGGAGGCTTGACGTCAACAAAGAGCTTGGAGTTGCCCCTAGAGCTGGTTGCGAGAGGCGTAGAAGATCTCCAGTTGTGTACAAGTTAGACAATGGAGATCTGGAACCCTGTAATTGCTTGAAGTGGTCAGGCACATAACTCTTCAAGCCTAGCTTTCTTCAAATACCCAATTTGAATTGCTATGGTGGATGGGTGTATTTCCCATCGGTGAACACATAGCATGGGGATGGGTCCTTATGGCCAGAGAAAATTTTACCAGCGCCGTTCGCGCATTGAAATCTCACGCGGGATCACCAATGGTTGAATGCACGTGGCTTTATTACGGGCTGGCAGTGGACTTGATTTACAAATAGTACGCCATAGCTTAAGTCGACCATGAAGAATCAAATCGGATGTACTTCCGGTCAATGTTTTTAATCGCCGATTGTTTTACTGGAGAGTTTTGACATGATTTCTCATTTCCCACCCACTTGCACTAATTCAAGGATGTGTTGAGCTAGCACAAACGATGCAGGATTCTTAGCAACTCACATTAGAGCTAAGCAGGTGATGGCGCGTTAGGGTGGTGTGGAGAAGCTTCTTCTTTTTCACTGTCCATCTAAAATAAATTGGAAGCCTTCCTCTTCTTCCCTCTCAGCGTCTTTCTACTCTTGGTGTTCTCACTTCTTAGCGTCTTTCTCTCATGCGGCAAAGCAGCTATAGGAAATCTCTTGTAGAGGAGGGTTTTCAACTGTGACTCAATTTACAGTTCCTCGCGATCGTCTCATTTTCAATCATGGACAGCTTTTGTCTTCGGTAGAACCAGCAGTCGTGTTCCAGTTGAATACAAAGGATTTTTTCTCTTCCTCTTCCCAGTATCTTGCTAATGCCTCGGGTCCTGCGACTCGCTGGAAGCCTGCTCGGTAACAACACCCCCTCCGATCAAATCGTCTATAAAGGTATTGTGGTTGTTCAGAAGCCCAGTTCACTGAGTGTCACCGATGTTGGAGCTTCCATGGTGGCTAATGCTGCAAATTTTCTTGGAATGGGTATTACTCTACAGCTCATCAGCAGCACTGCAATTGACTCGAGTCAGTACACGATCTGCTCAATAAAAATATGGCAAGAACTCACCGTGTTTTTCGTTCCCCAGGTACGAACACGGGGAAGCTCAGCAAGCCAGCGGCCTTGGAGAAGTGGCTGCTCTCTCCTGCTGTCTTGTTTGGAACGGATGAAGTTAAATATTCCGTCAAATTCACGGTGGATGCCGACTTTGGCTTGCCTGGCGCATTCAGCATAAATAATGGCCATCTGAACGAGTTCTTCCTCGTCTCCCTCACGGTTGAGCTACCAGGCGGTGGTAAACACGTTGAATTCCCTTGCCATTCCTGGGTGTTCAACTCCAGAGCATACAAGACCCAACGCATCTTCTTTAGCAACGAGGTAACATCTACAATACTAATGCTCACTGGCTTCTTTGCTTTTAGTTTTATCTTCCAGCAGACACACCGAAAGGCCTAATCACTGCCCGATACAACGACCTGATAGCTTTGCGAGGTGATGGAAGCGGTACTAGAAAAGCCTGTGACCGCATTTACGACTACGACGTCTACAATGACCTGGGCAATCCCCTCCTGAATGCTGCAAAGAGACCTGTGATGGGAGGATCAAAAGAATATCCTTATCCACGAAGATGCAGGACTGGCAGAACCATTTTCATTGGAGGTATATGGTAACTCATCACCTCTCTGCATTTGAATAGCAACAGTCATATGGTATAAACAGTTGTTGTTGCTTGATTTCTCACGTAAAAACATAGTCATGCTGAATGCATAGCATATAACCAAGAGTATGAAAAAAATCTCTCATTTTGATTTGATTTGTTTATTTTTTCAGCTGAAACGTCTGGCCTAAATTTACTGGCTGACTACTATATACCAAGTGATGAGAGGTTCAGCTCAGTCAAGGCGACTTCTTTCTTGGCCGATGGTCTCAAATCACTAACTCATGGGGTGCTTCCAATTCTAAAAACTGTGACTGGTTTTAAGCAGACCTTCCGCTCCTTTAAGGAGGTAAAAGGTTTGTACGACCAGGGATTAGATCTGTCAAAAATAGTCACTGCTCCAATCAATGGCATCAAAACCCCATTTCAGCTCTTCAACCAGCTTAATGCCGACACTGGAAACACAAGCTTCATGAAGTTTCCGGTTCCACAAGTTTTCAAAGGTATCTGGTTACTCTCTTGACTCTCAAAATGTAAGACATGAAAATGCAGCTGATGAAAAAGGGTGGATGTTGGACTCTGAATTTGCTAGGGAAATGCTTAGTGGATTGAATCCCATGGTCATAGAAGCTCTGACAGTAAGTTATAAATTTTATGTAGGACTTACCTCTTGATGAAATTAACTTCCTCCGTCCAAGGAATTCCCACCAACGAGCACACTGGACTCTGCTAAATACGGACCACAGAAGTCAGCTATTACCGAAAAACATATAGTGAATTTCCTAGAGGGACTGACTGTTCAAAAGGTACGCAACTCCATAACCTGTAAAACTAATCTTTAAATGTCATGCAGGCATTGGATAAAAAAAAGCTGTTCATCGTCAACTATTACGACTCTTATATGCCATACCTCGACAAAATCAACTCACGGCAAAAAATCTATGCTTATGCTTCCAGAACACTGCTATACTTGAAATCCGACGGAACTCTCCAGCCAGTAGCCATTGAGCTAAGCACACCATACTCCCAAAGGGTGTTTGTTCCACCAGCAGCTGGACAGATCGACTGGCTCTGGGAGCTTGCGAAAGCACATGCTGCAGCGAACGACGCAGGATATCATCAGCTTGTAAGCCACTGGTAAGAAAAGTCTCACATACCTCCAATTGAGATGCTCACTGGCTTGCTGTACAGGTTGAGAACTCACGCATGTGTGGAACCATTCATCATTGCGACCAACCGGCAGCTGAGTAAACTCCATCCCCTGAACACATTCCTGCAACCACATTTCAAGAACACAATGGCGATTAACGCCAAAGCCCGTAAGTCACTCATCAGTGCGAAAGGCATCATTGAGAGAACATTCTCATTGAGACGCTACTCAGTCGAAATGAGTTCCTTGGCGTACAAAGGCTGGAGATTTGACCAAGAAGGCTTACCAGCAGACCTCCTTAAAAGGTAAGAAATAGTTAAATGGGACACAGATGACAAAGCCCTTGCTGTTCCAGGGGCATGGCTGTGCCTGATGCAACCTCTAAAGGTGGAGTCAAGCTAATCGTTGAGGACTATCCATATGCAGTCGACGGACTGGAAATCTGGACGGCGATTGAGAAGTGGGTCACAGACTACCTCGAAATTTACTACAAGAACGATGCATCAGTGACGAGCGATCCAGAACTTCAAGCATGGTGGAGCGAGCTCATCAACAAGGGACATGCTGATAAGAAGGATGAGAAATGGTGGATCAAACTGGACAGCAAGAAGAGTCTGACATCAGTACTCACCACACTGATCTGGATCGCATCTGCTCACCATGCAGCAGTCAACTTTGGGCAATACGCATATGCCGGCTACATGCCCAACCGTCCCACAACGACACACCGACCCATCCCAGAGAAAGATTCTGACGAACACAAGAAGCTGCTCGCGGATCCCGAAAGGTTCTTCCTGTCATGCGTATCGAGCAAGATGGAAGCGATCTTATGCTTGCTCACAGTCGAGATTCTATCCAGCCACTCAGCGGAAGAAGAGTATCTCGGGCAGCGTGCCGTGGAGAACTGGACCGCGAACGCCAATGTGAAGGCCGCATTTGTGGCATTCGGCGAAGAGCTGAGGAAGGTGGAGCGATCAATCATCAACAGGAACAATGATCCAGCACTGAAGAACAGAGTGGGAGCTGTGAACGTGCCCTACACGCTCCTGTATCCTTCCTCTGCGAACGGAATTACAGGCAAGGGAATACCCAACAGCATCTCCATTTGAAGAACCGTATACCCTTCCTTTAATTTCCTGAGCAGTTCCTTTCATCTTCATGCTCTAAGGTACCTCACATGGATATTACAACAGGTACAACAAGAGTAAGTTTTTCTTTTCTTTTGATTCTAGTAAAATATCCAAGTATGTTGGTTGTGATTTTAGGGTTTAATGGCAAGTCAGAAACCTTCCACGTTTACTCACCTCTGATCTAGCTGCGAGAAAATGCCATCCACATTGAAAACACATATGTTAGAAAACTCTAGATATAGAGGTGCATTGAAGCATATGCAAGATTTAACAACAATCCCCCATAGCACTGTCTTCCACAACTTTGTAGGCAGGCTTGTTAACAGGTTGTGGCTCACCCGTTAACTTGATCCAACTGTTGACAACCATCGGATTAAGTCAGGTTCTCTGTGAGAACATGGTTGACAACTGCGAAGTTCTGGAGAACTAGGCTACCAACTGCCAATTCTTGAGAACCTCTCACCCTTGAATAACATTCTTCCATGTGTCCATTAACAGTCTTGCCATAACCTATTAAAGCTGTTCACAGGCACGGGCTCGCTCATTCCTTCCAAAAGGCACTCGCCAGGCTAATGTCTGGCTTGCCCATTCTGGGCGGGAACGTGCTTGCCCTACCCAGGAATTCCTTCATCATGGACAACCATTATGGCTTCAATATCACTGTTAGAAATGGCCAGCCACCTAGGACCAAAAATCTCCACTTCCACACCCTTCATGACCACTATACTCAACATGACTAATCTGATTCATCAAGAGCTTGAATATAGCAATTGCATCAATTTAATTTGAATGTTGTAATAATGAGATTAGAATTTTTTTTAGCATTAATCTAAACAGTAAAGTTATAGTGGAAACTTGACAGCATGACTTTAGGTTTTGCTTCTATAATGGTTATTAACAATTACATTTAGTTCCATGGGAACTTTAAATTCTTGTGGTAATGTATAATTGCATGTAAAAGCTCCAGATGTTTATTCATTTTCTGGAGGGTGTATAGTTTGTAATATATACATACATACATACATATATACATACATATATATATATATATATATATATATATACACACACACACACACACACACACACATATATATATATATATATATATATATATATATATATATATATATATATATATATATATATATATATATATATATATATATATATATATATATATATATATATATATATATATATATATATATATATATATATATATATATATATATATATATATATATATATATATATATATATATATATATATATATATATATATATATATATATATATATATATATATATATATATGCATATGGCATCCAGCGTCTTTTATTCCATTTTTAGAATATTATTTCTGAATATACCTATAATCTAACAGTTCATATTCAAAAACTTCAAATAGATGGCATAGATCAAGTGCCAAAGGGGTGGCAACTCTTCAATTTTTTAATGACGATCCAAATCAAGAGAAAAAATTTAGGGCGATTGGGCAGATTGTGAGCTCTCTCTCTCTCTCTCTCTCTCTCTCACACACACACACACACACACACTCTCTCTCTCTCTCTCTCTCTCTCTGTGTCTGTGTGCTGAAATTTTCTATTTGCTGCGTTTGATCGGACTGGCTGGGGACTGACGAGCTGGCCGTGCAAAAAAAGTGGCCGTGACAAAGATGGTCTTCCCAATCCTTACGAGCACCAGTCCCAAGTGAGTGTTCTATTCATTGTCGTTTAGAAAGAAAAAAAAGAATTTTTTTCCTGTTGTTCTTGCTTATTTGATTTCTCTGATTAGAGCTCGCAGGTGGATTTGCTGCTGAGCTTTTGCCAGCAACTAAAATTCTCATCGGTCGTGCTCGTTGGTCATGACGACAGTGGATTGCTTGCTCTTATGGCAGCTGCCAATATCTTGACAACTCTAAGCTCAACGCAGGTAAGCTCCAAGCGACTATAGTTGGATCATCTCATGGATTTTCATTTCTGTGGTGAAGGTGGTGATCAAAGGTGTGGTTTAGATCGTGGTGAGCTCCTCCAGGTATTGCCATTTGCTTGAGTTTTGGTCCACACTTCTTTGGGACGGCACATACTCCGGCCATTGCTGTGCCCGGAGATGGCGAGTGGCCATGCCTGGCATGATGCTTCAAAGCTCACCTCAAAAGTGATGGAACTTTACAAGGTATGAGGAAAAAATCAAACTTGATCAAAAGAAATCCATGATTTTCCATGTATACATAGGTACCTTTTCTATCTTGTTGTGATGTCTAGGCCATTTTCTTCTCACAAACTTGCTACTTGACAAAATGAAGGAGACCGCTAAGGAAAGTGTTTGTCAATCTCTCCTCCGTTGTGCATATCGCCTGGAATCCAGTTCTCACACCTTAATGACAAAACCCTGGTACGCCAAAGAACTCTCTTTTGTCGTGAGCTTACATTATTCCTTTTTTCTTCCAAAAGGTTCAATCTCTCCTCTGTTGCGCATATTGCCTCTTACAGCAGTGGAATCCAGTTCTCACACCTTAATGACAAAACCTGGTACACCAAACAACTCTCTTTTGTCGCGAGCTTACATTATTCCTTTTTTCTTCCAAAAGGTTCAATCTCTCCTCCGTCGCGCATATCGCCTCTTACAGCGGTGGAATCCAGTTCTCACACCTTAATGACAAAACCTGGTACGCCAAACAACTCTCTTTTGTCGTGAGCTTACATTATTCCTTTTTTCTTCCAAAAGGTACTCATACAGTCAATCCAAGCTCGCGAACTTTTTCCACACCAAAGAACTGGCAATAAGATTCAAGGTATTCGTCTAATGCTTTGAAATCTCTCCCACCTTTCTCTTTTGCCAATGCTTTCTCTTTCGCTGATTAGGCCGAAGGAGTTGACATCACAGCCAACGCTGTTCATCCAGGGTTTATAATGACACCTTTGATGGCAATGAGATTCAAGGTATTCGTCTAATGCTTTGAAATCTCTCCCACCTTTCTCTTTCATCAATGCTTTCTCTTTCACTGATTAGACCGAAGGAGTTGACATCACAGCCAATGCTGTTCATCTAGGGTTTATAATGACACCTTTGATGCGGTACAAGAACATAAATATGATAAAAGGTGGGCTTAATTTAGCAACTTATGAGAACTATCTAAGTTCGTTGCTTTGTTGTTCTAGGTAGAGATGGCTACGGCTAAGCGGACGATCAGGAGGACTCCACCACAGTACCTTTTTTTTATTAAACAAATCACAAATGTTCGGGTTCACTCAATTTAAGCAGCTGGAGGTGAAAACCACAAGCTCTCAACACTGCCATTAGTTACTTGTTGACCTGAATGTAGACCTGAAGCCCCGCCTGGGACAAGCTCTGTAATGAGTGGAAAGTAAGCTCAATACGTTAAGCAGCAGCTCTCATATACCAGCCAGCTGTAGCACACATGCAGCCAATAGCAAGCACGCCAAACAACTCCACGAAAATGATCTCTTTGATCCAATCAGGTGACCACCAACAAGGGAAAGAGAAACTGCAAAACAAAGAAAAGGAGATAGGCAATAAAAACACACAGCAGACAGACACACCTTCATTCAGGTACTATACTTTCCCTTTCCCTTTTTCACTATGCTGTTGCAAAATTGAGATAACAAGAGCTCAGCTCAATCACTAAGAGCTTAGCTGATGGATGAAAGCTGACTCACCCTTGTTTTACCTGACAGGTACACTATAGTGCCGTTTTTGTTTTGTTGTGTGGATCAACTGCTAAGGCGTTCTTAAGGGGGCAGAGGATGATTATTCAGTGAGCGTGAGACAGATGAGCAAGAAAAACACAAGCGCCTTCACAAGCATTGGATCCAAGAGCAGACACACCAAAAAAAAGTATTCTCTGGCATTTACATTATCTGGAGATGAGGTCAGACACACACCTACAGCTTACCTCCTGCATTTGCAAAAGCCCCATTGGAAATGGCGACAAGAAATGTGTCAAATAGCACAAGAAAACTATACAGCTTACTTCCAAAACACTCATTCATTCATATGTAGGCCTTTGATTTTCAGGTAAATCGGAAATAGATGTTTTGAAAAATGAGAGATGAAAACAAGAATAGAAAGAAAGAAAGAAAGAGAAAAACAAACCAAGTTTTGAAAAGCCGTGTCTTTAAAGCTTCCACTCCTTTTAAAGAAATACACACCCAAATATATCAAAACATTCTCCCAATTTTACAAAACACTTCAAAAACTTAACTGCCACCTTTTGCAAGCATTATATATGAAAAATGATCCTTGTTACAACCACCAAACTCCTGTGCCGTCTGCAAGGCAGTGCTTAGATCCCAGTACATTCGACAAGCTCCCAGCAGACTCTCTCACTCCTCTTGCCCAGGATCCCCTTGGAATCCTTCAGCTTCCCGGCCCTTGCAAACACATGTTGCTGAAGCAATCTGGATTCAAGCCATGGTTGCAGACTCCAAGTACTGCCACATGTTCACGAAAGTGATCTCCTCCTATTTCAAGGCCATGGCATGGAAGAGCCATGGCAACGTTGCCTACATTGCACATGACTTTGGTTTCAAGCATGTCGTCCATCACGTACTTGACACCCTCTCGTTGGATTCCAGAGTCTTTGATCCCACTGTATGGCTGGCTATCAACGCACATTCTTGGCGAATTGTTGAGGCAAACTCCTCCAGCCTGTGAGGATCAAATAATCATCAAACAATCGATCAATACTTTCTATATCTCAAACGCAAAGCTACCTCTATGTGCTCAAACGCATAGAAGGCCTTGTTTAGATCATGCATAAAGACGCTGGCCTGGAGACCGTAATGCGTGTTGTTAGCTTCCTTCACGGCTTCCTTGAAATCACTGCGTCACCACCGTTTTAGTTTAGAGAAAAAAAAGGAAGTAAAGAAGAACTTCAGGGGCTAAGAAACTTTGAGAGTTTACTTGTATGAGTAGAGAAGGATCACTGGACTGAAAATCTCTTCCTTCTTTGCATCTGTGTCAAAGGGAGCGTCTTCCAGGATCATTGGCTCCATGAAAGCTCCCCTTCGCTTACCACCAACTAAAAGTTTGGTGCCTGCCTTCACTGTCTTGTTCACGCTCTTCTCCACTGTAGCTGCCAATTGTTGAGTATACACTCTCTATGACATGATCCTAGATGGCAGGAGTGCCACTTCACTGA